ATACTGTATATACTGAAACAATTTACACCATCGTTTGATTCATTTCTGCTCACTATATCTGAACATCCTCCCATTATTCAGGAAATGTAATAATGACTCCTCCTAATGGCATTCTCTGAACCCAAAGTAGTATGACATCACTCTCTGGGAAATACATTCAGATTCAAAACAGCCAATTTTCAACTTTTTGTCTTCCCTATTTCTGTTCAGGATGAAACAGCAATGTGTTTAGAAAGAGTTTTTGCTCCTCGAGATGTTAAACCCAGTGAGTCATGACAGTGGGCAGACTTTAGTTTTAGCAAATACAAACTAGAGATCGTCTTCCTTAACACAAGTTGTCAGCAAAATATAAAAAGTCATAATCTGGACTGTTAACCAGCTTGTTGTGAAAAGCAAAAGTCTAGTATAAATGTAAGTGGAACAGACTTTTAGCAATGTTGAAAAAATCAATGTTTTTTTTTTCTTTTGTTTGTATAAACACTGAAACATACATAATTAATGTATTACCAGCATTTAAAATGTAACTAGTATACACAATTTGAGATGTTTATGAATAATTAATACATGGAATTAATAGGCTGATTGTATTGTACATAATCGATGACATCATGACATTCCAAATATGTATGTGTGTATATATATATATATATATATATATATATATATATATATATACACACACACACACACACATATATACAGTATATACTATAATAGTAGTCAATTGTTTTATTTGTGATAAGCGCAATGAAAAATGCGGAGATTCAAATTGAAACAATAAAAATTATTTTTGACCAGCTGTCATGCAAAGAAATTACGAATTAATGCAAAAACAAGAGAGAACCAATGAAGTATTAATAACTAATTAATAAATATTAATAACTTGATGTAGTCAATGTGCTTTTTCCTATGAGCTTTTTTTTTTTTACATATAGACTATAGTAAAATAAAACCTGTAGGCTAGCTGTTTATCATTTTGCCAAATAATATAATATCAGATATATACCTTATAGCATTTTGAGCTTCCCTCATGCTTAAAATATTGAAAAAATATACAATATTTTTCATATTTTTATGGTTTAATCAAATTTGTGTGTATATATATATACACTCACCGGCCACTTTATTAGGTACACCTGTCCAACTGCTCGTTAACACTTAATTTCTAAGCAGCCAATTACATGGCGGCAACTCAGTGCATTTAGGCATGTAGACATGGTCAAGACAATCTCCTGCAGTTCAAACCGAGCATCAGTATGGGGAAGAAAGTTGATTTGAGTGACTTTGAACGTGGCATGATTGTTGGTGCCAGAAGGGCTGGTCTGAGTATTTCAGAAACTGCTAATCTACTGGGATTTTCACGCACAACCATCTCTAGGGTTTACAGAGAATGGTCCGAAAAAGAAAAAACATCCAGTGAGCGGCAGTTCTGTGGGCGGAAATGCCTTGTTGATGCCAGAGGTCAGAGGAGAATGGCCAGACTGGTTCGAGCTGATAGAAGGGCAACAGTGACTGAAATAACCACTCGTTACAACCGAGGTATGCAGCAAAGCATTTGTGAAGCCACAACACGCACAACCTTGAGGCGGATGGGCTACAACAGCAGAAGACTCCACCGGGTACCACTCATCTCCACTACAAATAGGAAAAAGAGGCTACAATTTGCAAGAGCTCACCAAAATTGAACAGTTGAAGACTGGAAAAATGTTGCCTGGTCTGATGAGTCTCGATTTCTGTTGAGACATTCAGATGGTAGAGTCAGAATTTGGCGTAAACAGAATGAGAACATGGAACCATCATGCCTTGTTACCACTGTGCAGGCTGGTGGTGGTGGTGTAATGGTGTGGGGGATGTTTTCCTGGCACACTTTAGGCCCCTTAGTGCCAATTGGGCATCGTTTAAATGCCACGGCCTACCTGAGCATTGTTTCTGACCATGTCCATCCCTTTATGGCCACCATGTACCCATCCTCTGATGGCTACTTCCACCATGTCACAAAGCTCTAATCATTTCAAATTGGTTTCTTGAACATGACAATGAGTTCACTGTACTAAAATGGCCTCCACAGTCACCAGATCTCAACCCAATAGAACATCTTTGGGATGTGGTGGAACGGGAGATTCGCATCATGGATGTGCAGCCGACAAATCTGCGGCAACTGTGTGATGCCATCATGTCAATATGGACCAAACTCCCTGAGGAATGCTTCCAGCACCTTGTTGAATCTATGCCACGAAGAATTGAGGCAGTTCTGAAGGCAAAAGGGGGTCCAACCCGTTACTAGCATGGGGTACCTAATAAAGTGGCCGGTGAGTGTATATATATATACTGTATATATATATATATAGATCTATAATATAAATAAAACATTAAGGATTCATTAAGATTTTTATGTTTCTAAATCTGCGCATACGCAAAAACGTGTTTTAGATGCTGTCAATGCGTATATTGTATGTTTCAGCATATATCCAAATGTACAAAATGAATGTATAAACACTACATATGAATATTTGTGTATTGTTATGAAATAAGAAAAGAAAAACAGGACCAAACTGAGCCACTGTACAGAAGCTGTGCCCACAAAATTTAACATTTTATACCACACAAAATAGTAAGATAACAACAGTTTTTCTAAATTTGACTCTTTAGTTATTTAGAGGTTTCGATTATATTGTAAATTTTATCCGGGAAGTATCATTCGCTCAAAATCAGTGAGGATGTGTAATTATTTGCTTCCATGGAGAAAAATCTGGAAGATTTGTATGTACTTTATATTTTAAATGTACATTGTAAATTGATATTGCCCTTGTTCCTTACATGCACAGAAAGAAAACAATCCCTGAAATCAAATGGTGACATGATCTGTGTTTTGCCCAGATTCACTGGTTTAGGCTTGAAACTAAACTGCTGTAAAATCCTATTGCCAAAAAGACTTATGACAACACAGCATTCCATTAAACAGCCGAGTAATTTAGAGTAAACTATTTTCACACAATCTAAACCATAAGCTGAGCATACCGATAACCACAAGGAAGCATGCATTAGCATGTGTCACTGTACAACACCTTGTTTATATGGCTCTGTGTAAACCACTGTGTTAGTGTTTATCTTTGTTTTTGAAAACGGAATAATTTAGGCCTTGTCCATACTAATACTTTTCGTTTGAAAACGCATCATTTTCGGTCATTTTTGGCCTTCCATTCACACTGAGACGGCGTTTTTTATAAACAAAAATGAAGCTTTTTGAAAACGCTGTCCAAAGTGGATAAATTTGAAAAGGGAAAATAACGAAGGTTAAAAAATAATAATAATAAAATAAAATAAAAATTTGGAGGCTTTCAAAAACAGTGACACATTTTTAGTCATGTGACCCATTCAGTCCAAAGCAAGATGGTGGACGATGTTGTCCTGTGGTTGTTTTGGCTGCTCTCCAGTTTGATGACATTGTTAAAGATTAATGTCAATTTGTACATACTTCAGATTGCATTTCTTCAAATTGCAGCAACAGGTGGAATGTGAAATTCACTGTAAAAAAAAAAAAACAGTTGATACCTAAATTTTTTTTTAAGTACAATCAATTTGGATGTTTCAGTCATTTCAGCTTAAATTACATTAAACTGACTTTTAAAAATGAGTTTAATTTTGTACAACTTTTCAAAAAAGTTGAAAATTGCTTAACTTATTTTGATGAGTTAAAGCAATGTAAAAACATTGTCAACTTATTGATCACATAATTTTTTACAGTGTACAGGCACATAAGTGTTTTCAGTGTGGATGAGCAACTTTTGGAAAACTCTTGAAAACGCAACCGTGGACGGAGATCGTTTTTAAATGAAACATTTTCAAATGTAACTGGATTAGTGTAGACGAAGCCTTAATTAATACCTTAAAGGGATAGTGCAGCCAAAAATGTGTCTTAGTTTACTCACCCTTGTGTTGTTCCAAATTCGTATGATGACAAATCTTGCTTCAAATGGTGCTCTCCTTTCATGTTTCAAAGGAACATTTTCAACATAAGGGTTTGGAATGACATAAGGGTGAGTAAATAAACAGAGAATACTCATTTTTGGGTTAATTATTCCTTAATTCTGAAGTTAGAAAGATGGCAAAGACGGTACTTTGTTGTATTGTGTCTGGTCCTTGGTGTGATGCCTTGGAAAACAACTTAACACGGAAATGGTCACGAAATAAAGCGTTATTCCACGGATCTACAACATAGTGTAAACAACAAGGCCATCAGTGAAGAATCAGCTAGCCTACTAAATGTGACTCGACCCCTCTGGGATATAAGAATACTGAATCGATAACACAGCTTAAGTTGTGGTAAAATAATATTAGCAAACACTTGTTAGAAAAATCCGTAAAGGGGTATTTGCTGTGAAACACTGAAACCTGGACGAACTATGGGGTTTTCTTTAATGGAAGTAGCATATGTCTGTCTGACGCTGTCAACAGCTCTATGCATTCCTTTCGAAATACTCCTGAGCGACTCTTGATTTTTGGGTATTATGGTGAGTTCAAGTCCTCCTGGAAAGTTGGCATTTGCGAGTTGGGAAGTCGCGATGTCAGGTGTGTTCAAGTCACTTTTGTCGAGCAAGATGGCAGTGCACCTTCTCTTAATTAACTACAGCAATGTTTTTAAAATCTACTTCTAGAAAATGTTAGCTTATTCTGTTAAAAATGAAAAGCCTGACAATGTAACTGCTAAATACTTATAGGCCTATAGTATTGTTCTAAGTATCTGAGTATTAGTATTCCGCCACATTTCTCACGGACGCCCCCAACTAGTAAACTCGGGGCCCCACTCGTATTTACGACTTTTGCGGTGGTGTTACATAAAAAAGCAGAACACACCTCATGCACATTATTTGTCCTTCATTTTCTATAAGTAAAGAAACCTTACTGTATTTTTGTTAAATAGGTACACTATCATCTTGCTCTGACGAAAGTGACGTGAACGCACCCGACTTTGTAAACACGACTCGTAAATACGAACTTCCCGTGAGGACTACGCACCGTTATAAATGCTGAAACCCCCAAAGCTTGTGAATCTTTATAAGCATGATTATCCATCCTACAGTACCAGGTTCTACATAATAACCACGAGAAGCACACACAGGATATTCACAGCCGTCTTTACAGGTTCATGTCACAATTACTCCCTCAATCTCACGTCTAGAACTGAAGTGTATTTACAGATTTGAATTGGCACTTGACAATTACATACGGACGTCCGCCGTTAGCTCTTTGCTTCAAAAATATCGCTTTAACTGGCAGCTCTGCAGTGTTCCTGGAGGCTGTTTGTGTGTTCTTTCGCTTCTTAACTCCTTAAATCTCCTTTCTTTGTACATTTTTTTTCTGGCGTTATAGGAACAAGGTGCACTCTTCCCTAGCATACGGGGCTTGACGTTTCCTCGTTGCCTGGGAAATTAAGAGCCTTTAGTCCAGCGAAAGCAGCGGCTGCATGTTTTCTTCTTCGCTTTTCACTTTTTCTGGTCGTTTCAGGACACCTGGCTCCACCACGGACTGGGACCTGCGGGTATAAATAAAAGATGAATGCCATCCCGGGAACTAGATTTCGAGATGCACAAACAAGAAATGAAAAATCCTGAGAGTGCATTGAAAATCTAAGCTAGAAAATAAATTATCCTGGAAATAAACATAAAAAATTTGAATAATGTAAAATTGTATTTATTAATTATTTGTTGTATTTATAATTTTATTGAATAATAATAATAATTATTGTTATTATTATAAAGTGCAGCTGACAATAAAACAAGATGTGCATACAATTTGATAATACAGTATATGATAATATAATAAATGGAGAAAAGTTAAATAATAATAAAAATTATACTAAAAATTATAAATGATATAAATAATATAAAAATTATATACAAATAATATATATATATACAACCTTAGACATTTGGACCCCAATGAAACATTTAAGCACACACGCAGAGCACTACTAACTCAGTAGTACAAATTAATGATGCATTGTGCATGTCACAATCATTTAAAGTGAGGGATGTGTAATGGAACATGTCATCTTAGTACACTGTGTTGGCCTACTTTTGATTTAGCTCTTTCGTAGAGACATAAGAAGCTTTGAGGACAGTGTGCTGTCGTTCATGCACAGATCTGGGGCACTTTCCTCTGAAGGACGCATTTATGTACTCTATTAACCCTGACTGTAATCATGATCAAAAACAGCTGTTTCTTATCAGACAATTGTGAGATCTAACAAAAGAAATCTGTTTGCAATGCATTTACCTTCAGTATTGTGATATATTTGATGTACTGAATATTAAGAAGGAAATAATGTAGGACAGGGATTTGAGTAGGTGTAAAGTGGGCTATGATCTGTTAGAGGTAATATACAGCCAGTCATTATCATATTTAAATGATAGTCCTTCATTTAAATAAGTAAATAATTCAAATTTGTATGTTGACTTTAAAAGTTATTCTGTTATAAGTTGCCTGTTTGTTGCAATTCTACACATGAAATAAAAACCACCTGACAGACATCACTGAAATGGGTGTCTTGAAAAATCCCACCTGTCTCAGCAAAGCTTTTGGGAAAGTCTGAAATCAGTTACAGCAACTTTAACCAACCATAATAACACAAGATATCTCTTGAGGACAATGAACTACATTGTTTTATTTATTTTTTCCCACAAAGAAATCACAGAATGACGCACAAAAGCTGTTGGACTAACGTCATAGCAAGAATCTGTGCTATTCGAGTGCAACCTGATGCAAACAGAAAACTGGGGAAAAAAAAGTATTGTCCATGTGACCTTTCCAGAGCAGACAAAGTTTGGTTTTAATTGCTCTGAATAAAGTACCCTTATGAAGAATGTGGGAGGTGTTAGCTTTTTTTTAAAATCAGACATTCCTGTGGAAATTTAAAGCACTCAAAGTAGATACTACAATATTGTTGCTTGATTCATCACTGACAGGAAGTAGAAATGTAATGACGCATCTTGTTTGCATGAATCTGACAAGTTCACAATGGTTCTCGTTGGTCAGTACAGTCAAATGAATTGCTTATCTCGAATACACATTGTCTATATATAAGACTGGGTCCCCTGGGTCCTAGAGACTCATGAGAAAAAAGTATACATACTGTATATAAATATAGTCAATAACACATCATGTACTAGGGACGTGGTTTAGCATCATTCATTTCTATTTGGATAATAAAGAGAAACATAAAATACTGTGGCCTTTTTAGAAAGAAAAAATGCTCAAAATGCTTTTTTTGCACTTCAAAAATGCAACAACAAAAAAAGTACCTTTCAGTTGAATATGTTGAGTTGAATGTTATGCTCACAAGCAATTCAGTGATAAAAGGTTATGGTTAATCTAAATGTTTATGTGTGAAGTCAACTTCTGCAGTTTTGAAAAGGGGTCAAAACTATGTTTATAAAATTATGAAATTCAGACTAATGGGATCGTTTCTCACCACAGTAAACCAAAGCCCCGCTATATGACCACCAGTATCCATTAAACTGCATAGCTGGAAATGAATAGCAATATAGATCATCACCAGCGAACTGTTCCCACAGCTAAACATGATGAATTATGTTAATAATACAACACTAGAGAACAATGAGTGCAGGATTCCACTGTAGCTGTACACAGATGTGTTATGTGCGGACTGGGAGATTTCGTTTAATAGCCAAAGCTGTTAAAGTAACTGTACTTTGATCTTAGCGGTACAAGAACATCTAAGACCTACTTTCTTCCAAATGCTGCGCCCCCCGGATGCTTTGGCATAATTCAAACACTACAAACAGTTGCTTTAAAAATGAGCCCAAAGAAAAGCCATTGCGATCTAGGCTATATTTGGTAGCCAACATCTCTCTGCACACGTACAGTCCCAGCTGCAGCAAGAAAAGATTAAATGTTTGCCACTGGTAAACCTACATCATGTGTTTTTGCTTGCATACACAGGCAGTGCATCATTTCGCACAGCAATTTCACTCCCTCGTGCTGATTTCATGACACCTCACCCTTTCTCGATCAGTGAAACGATGCACAACAAGAGTTCCTCAAATCACCCGGTCAATCACAGGCTGTAACTTATCCAAAAATGCTTATTTTATCAAAAAGAGCTGCGTTTAATTATAAAGCCAGGGAGTCGGTTGCTAAGGACTGTAACCAAGAAGAAAAAGGCAGTATGCTGCTAAAATGTGACTCTTTTAACAAACACTGTAGCTTCTTTACGCCTCTAGTAAAGCTGCTTATTTTTGTTATCCAGAGCAATTCTCTTGATAATTCCACTTGAGTGAAGACTGCGAGCAAGCAAACGCTGTTTCCATGGCAAGCGACCAAATGATTTTATTAAACAATCATAACAGAAATAAACAACATACATAATATGGCCAGTGCGGTGACATCACATGCTCGTTTTAGAGAGCACCAGTGTTGTTATAGTTAATATAACAACACTATAATAACATTAAAACTATTCAAAAAATAATTTATGGTATTTGAAATAAGACGTTACTTATTAGTATACTTATTAACTTTCAAAAATTGTGTTTTGAATATTTTCAAAAGTGCTAAAATTACTAAAACTAAAAATGAGTAAATAAATTAAAGCTAAATAAAAAGAAAACTAATAAAAATTGACAAAAGCACGTAATAAAATAAAAATAAAAGCTAATTCAAAATATTGAAGTGCCCCTATTATGCTATTTTAAAGGGTCCCAATTTTGTTTTGGAGGTCTCCTACAAAAGTTGTACATGCATCCAAGGCCAAATTCTTCTCATAATATACATTGCAGCATCACCTCTTTTCGGTTTGATAAAGGATTCGTCTCTCTAAATCCGTCCTTCCCAAGAGCTTACTCTGCTCTGATTGGTCAGATGGCCCAGTCTGTTGTGATACCGCTTACAAAGTGTGTTGGAAACAAAACGCCTATTACCATATCTGAATTTCCAACCCAATCTCACGGCAATTCGTACGAATTTTACGAGGTGGCTAATTCGTGCGAATTCATACGACCTCACTAGTACTAATTCGTACGATTCTTGCTAAATCGTACATATTTTACGAGTTGCCCAATTCGTATGTAAGCAATAAGGTACGAGAGGCTGTGCTGTATCGTGAATAAGTAACGGCTGGAGGGCGTTGTTAGGCACGACGCGAAGCGGAGTGCCTGCAACCCCTTCAGCCGTTACTTATTCACGATACAGCACTTGCCTCGAGTACCTTATTGCTTTTATAAAACGGTTGCCACACAATAAAAATATTAAAGCCGAAAAATATGTATCTATGCAACTTTCATGAAGTAAAATCACTAAAAGCCTGCCTTCCGCTGGAAAAAATAGTCCCGGAACGTGAACAGCAACAGAAGTTACATATATTATTTCGCCAATAGATGGCGGCAAAGACTGTCTTTATGAGTGAGTGAGTGAGTGAGTCTGTAGAGAAGGCTTTTGAAAGGACTCGAACTTGTGATCACGGAGAAGACAGACGCAACTGACAGATGACTAACGTTATGCACGGAAAACCCCATGACTGTTAAAAGGACAAAATATGCAGCGGACATTCAAACGCATTTTTTTATTATGAATATAGGACTGACCTGAAGGAAAATGCTACGTCTACTGTAAATGCAGGTACACTCGCTTACTCGATCTCTCACAATGCTCTGCTCTAGCTTTAAATGAACAATATCAATGAGATGAAACATCTGTTTAAGTTGCTAAGAGTGGTTGCTAGGGGTGTTGTGTAGTGATACATAGAACCGTTGGGTGAAGCGGTCATAGCCGTGTTTTATCGTGAATAAAGCACAGCTATTGACCAATCAGAATCAAGGATTGGAACTAACCGTTTTATAAGAATTCGTACGAATGACCTACACCTGACCCCGCCCCTAAACCTACCCATCACGTGGGTTTAGACAAATCGTACGAATTCGTAAGACTTAGCCACCTTTTACTCGCTCGTACGAATTCGTACGAATTGGTCGTGACTTAGCGTTGGAATTTCAGCTTCAAAGGCTTCCTCGGTGCTTGATACACAGTGATACGAACACTAGCAATGGCGTCATTCCAATTCGAGCCGAATCCTAATCCTTTAGAAGTGCGTGCAAAGTAGATTTGCTTTCTCGGTGCAGAAAACAGCAACTTCTCGTCATGTCGACAACACAGACCAAACTCTTCCAGGCCTCAGCTACAACAGTGTTTGAGGGCCATAGTAGACGTTGTTCATGCAAATTTGTTACAAACCATTTGTATAGAAACTGGAATTACTGACAACTCGTTTCAGACAGTTCAGAATTGGTTCTTTCTTTTAGGAGACAATTACTCCATTTATTGTGCACTTTGATCTTTGAAACTTTGCTGACCTTTCACATTCACAAACAGCTATATTACACATAATAATAATAATAATATAATAACTAACTATTACTAAAACTATAATAATATACTATACTATACTGTTCTATACTATAATACAATGTAATGTAATGTAATGTAATATAATATAGTATGGAGAGCACTATACAAACTAAAATATCTTGGAGATGATCTAGCGGTTAACACATATGCTCTGACATTGAGTCATGGTGCTTGTGCAAGTTTTAATGCGGCGATTTTGCCCTCACCGTTATTTCTTGTCCTCTTTTTCCACTATATTTGCAAAAACTTAAATAAAGATGGCAACAGGCAAATAAAATAAAAATTAAAAACTGGAAAAATTACAAGTACAAACCTTTTCATGGTTTTGGGGGATAGATCTTTCTCCAGGTCTTTGACAGACAAGGTATAGGATTCGGGGCAGTAGTCCGTCTCCTCGTCATACGCGTGGTCAAGCAACGTCCTGGCCCAGGTGCCCATGTCGTAAGGAGGCAACATGCCACCCAGCTCAGACGGCAGAATCTCAGGTAAGATCAGCTGGTGCAAGCTGTTCAGATTGTTTCCATGCATGAAAATCTAAATATACAACATATGAAATATTGTTATTTGCCTGGTTATGTTTTCATACTAACTGTAAGCTGCAGCATTTACTGTTTATCGGTCAGTGTTGCACTTATTGCTATGGCATTACACTGTGCATTTTGTTTCACTGGCCTGATGTTGAATGAATATGAAAATAGTTTAAAGTTTACATAAACAGAACAGCTAACAATTATATGTGATATAAGTGACGGGATTTTTTATAAAAAATAAAATGTTTATAATAATTCTCTCACCCTTTTTCTTGTTTTGTCCTTGAGGAAAGGCCGGATGACTGTGTACAGAGCATGGATGTACCAAGGTTGGTTGACAAAATGAATCCCTCCAAACCTGGCTGGGAAGCTATCCTGTGGGAAATAAATAAACAAATTATATGTATATATAATTATAATTCATTATATTATTTAAAAAAAAATTTATAGAATTTTATTTGATACAATTTAACTGATTCACTTATGCAATAGAACAAAATTAGTCATTTTATGTGAACAAATATGCACATTTTGTACAACCCGAATTCCGGAAAAGTTGGGACGTTTTTTAAATTTGAATAAAATGAAAACTATAAGACTTTCAAATCACATGAGCCAATATTTTATTCACAATAGAACATAGATAACATAACAAATGTTTAAACGAAGAAATTTTACACTTTTATCCACTAAATGAGCTCATTTCAAATTTGATGCCTGCTACAGGTCTCAAAATAGTTGGGACGGGGGCAACAAATGGTTGAAAAAGCAAGAAATTTAGAAAGGATTCAGGTGGGAGAACATCTAGCAACTAATTAAGTTCATTTATATCAGGTCTGTAACATGATTAGCTATAAAAGGGATGTCTTAGAGAGGTAGAGTCTCTCAGAAGTAAAGATGGGCAGAGGCTCTCCAATCTGTGAAAGAGTGCGTAAAAAGATTGTGGAACACTTTAAAAACAATGTTCCTCAACGTCAAATTGCAAAGGCTTTGCAAATCTCATCATCTACAGTGCACAACATCATCAAAAGATTCAGACTGGAGAAATCTCTGTGCGTAAGGGACAAGGACAAAGACCTTTATAGGATGCCCGTGGTCTTCGGGCCCTCAGACGACACTGCATCACTCATCGGCATGATTGTGTGAATGACATTACTAAATGGGCCCAGGAACACTTCCAGAAACCACTGTCGGTAAACACAATCCGCCGTGCCATCTCCAGATGCCAACTAAAGCTCTATCATGCAAAAAGGAAGCCAGATGTGAACATGGTCCAGAAGCGCCGTCGTGTCCTGTGGGCCAAGGCTCATTTAAAATGGACTATTTCAAAGTGGAAAAGTATTCTAAGGTCCGACGAGTCCAAATTTGACATTCTTGTTGGAAATCACGGACGCCGTGTCCTCCGGGCAAAAGAAGAGGGAGACCTTCCATCGTGTTATCAGCGTTCAGTTCAAAAGCCAGCATCTCTGATGGTATGGCGGTGCATAAGTGCATACGGTATGGGCAGCTTGCATGTTTTGGAAGGCACTATGAATGCTGAAAGCTATATAAAGGTTTTAGACGGTTCTCCCTTTTATAAAGGTTCCCCTCCAGACGACGTCTATTTCAGGGAAGGCCTTGTGTATTTCAGCAGGACAATGCAAAACCACATACTGTAGCTATTACAACTGCATGGCTACATCGTAGAAGAGTCCGGGTGTTGAATTGGCCTGCCTGCAGTCCAGATCTTTCACCTATAGAGAACATTTGGCGCATCATTAAACGAAAAATGCGTCAAAGACGACCACGAACACTTCAGCAGCTGGAAACCTATATAAGGCAAGAATGGGACCAAATTCCAACACCAAAACTCCAGACACTCATAAACTCGAGGCCCAGACGTCTTCAAACTGTTTTGAAAAGAAGAGGAGATGTTACACCATGGTAAACGTGCCCCCGTCCCAACTATTTTGAGACCTGTAGCAGGCATCAAATTTGAAATGAGCTCATTTATTGGATAAAAGTGTAAAATTTCTCAGTTTAAACATTTGTTATGTTATCTATGTTCTATTGTGAATAAAATATTGGCTCATGTGATTTGAAAGTCTTATAGTTTTCATTTTATTCAAATTTGAAAAACGTCCCAACTTTTCCGGAATTCGGGTTGTAATTCCTAGCATTTGTGAGGAGAAAACAAAATAAAATTTTGTGACGCCAATGACCGCCTCTCCACCATGCAACCTCATACTTTTCAGAATAGAAGATGGTTCACAATCAGAGAGTTACTGATGTTCATTTAAAGTTCCTTGAAGTCATTCACGATTCCACATAGGATTACACCAAAAAGTGGGCATAATTCCCATTTCTCCTGATATCACACAGCTGAAGTTGATACATACTTTGCTGTGTTCACTAATCTGCCCTGAACAGTAATCCATATTCATAAAGCTGACTGCAAGGGTTCCTAATGATGCTGTCTTTCGCTAAGCTCACAAAAACCAAGTCTTAAGAACAAATGACGGTAAAAGACTTCCAAGTCTAGGTTACAGGGTTTAAATTTTAATCTAGATAAGTTATGAGAAAAAAGTATCTTATGCTCACCAAGGCTGCATTTATTTGATCAAACATACAGTACAAACAGTAATATTGTGAAATATTATTACAATTTAATAACTATATTTCAATATGTAATTTATTTTTGAAATGGCTGAATTTTTGCATTATTACGCCAGTCACATGATCCTTCAGAAATCATTCTAATATGCTGATTTGGTGCTCAATAAATATTTTCTTATTATTATCAATGTTGAAAACAGTTGTACTGCTTCATATTTTTGTGGAAAACATGCTAAATTGCAAATAGCAGCATTTATGTTGACTTTTTTAACATTATAAATGTCTTTATTTTAGCAGGCCTCTGTTACGCATGCACAGATTTGAGATTCCACTTGCAACTATCATCTTATAATTTGCAATATTATTATTTTTTTTTTAATATGAAAGAGAACACATACACTCTTTTTAGAGTGCTCTTCTTTCAACAAACAGCCAAATATAGACATTTATCTTCATTTAGTAAGTTAAGTTCTAACATTTGCTGCTAAATAATTTTTTTCTTAAAACATGCTATGCAATTTAAAAAAAAATTTAAACACTCATTTTTATTCCGTGTATTTGATCACATCATGGCCTTGTTTATTGCTTCTCACTGACTCTCAAATCATAACAGAACAGTGTTGTTGGCGCCACTGGTGGACAGCTGCAAGTAAGCAGGCCGTATAGACACCGAGGCCCCCAGGCCAGTGTCCGGCAGCAGACCACAGGCTTGTGGGCGTTCGATCTGGCACTGGATCTGACACAGAGGCAGGTGATGGTGCAAGCGCATGGTGATTGGCCAGCGCTTCAGGGGAGGGGCTATGAGGCATTTGCCAGCAGGTGGTGTCAGCACATACTATGATATCTCTGCTTTGGGACCTGCTGCTACCGAGTGAGATAAAGGTCTCAGCTGCATTAAACATGAAGAGCTAAACTCTGGTGTGAGCTGGTGGAACCTGATTGATCTGTGTCCCAGCAGTGTGACAGTGGGAGGAGACAGAGGGAAACGGGGGAGGGGAAGCTGCCACAATGCTCTTTTTCCTAAATTCTAGAATTCAGAATGCACATGATCTGATGCTGTGATGCTGAAAAAGCTATTTTAAAGTCCCCCTGTAGTCAATAATTGTATCCCTTAAAACTCATCTTTGATCACCAAAATGTCATATTTAAACGTTTTTTTTCCTGTGAAAAAAAAAGGAATTCATGCCTTAAAATAGCTTGAATGTAACTCTACACCACTGCTTGTTCAGGTAAGATGACGTAAAATTAGGACAGCCTTCTTTGCTCACTTTCGCTTTTATTCTCGTGCACTGACTGATTCGACTAAGCTAAACAGCCAATCAGAGTTCTCTCTCTCACCAACCGCGCAGACGGACGCCGATTCAACATTCTCAATCGGCCATAATACCCCTGACGATGTCCAACTAGCACTGACAGTATGGAACAAACCATAAAAACTGGGCCGACCAACGCTCAACAAGGGCCCGACTCTGGCCGATGGCCGACTGTTGGCTTAGGGGCTGTTTACACAACATAATGTAACACAACGTAAAACGTTTTATGCGTTTTAGTCATTCATTTACATGACAATGGTGTTTTGGGTCCCTGAAAACGCAAACTTTTGAAAACGGGTTTCAAAACGAAACAACATGTAAACAACAAAAACGCAAACCTCTGAAAACAATGACGTCATGCACATGCGTATTACTATAGTGTTTCATTGCCATCTAATGGCCTGGCAGCAGAACGGGGATCGTTTTGACAATGTCCAAACGACATTGGACATTGTCTGTAATGTCGGACAATGTCATTGTCGGACATTGTCTACGTTTTGTCTGTACGCGGAAAACTCAAAGGAAAAGCTTCTCCGTTTTAAGCATATCGTTGTAGTGTAAACGTAACCTCAGTGTGTCAGGGCCCCTAGAAAAAGGTGAGTAAATGGTAATAATAGAATTTTCATTTTTGATTTTTGAGTTAACTATCCATTAAAAACCAGCAGGTTTGCTAAACAAACATGCAAAACAAAAAAGTGGTAACAGTAAATGGAAATCTGGATGCAACAAAGAAAAATCAAAATAAATAAATAATTATAATTAAAATACATGAGCGAAACCATGCTACACTAAGCCAGTAACTGTAACTGAAGTCGCCAGTAACTGAACTACTCAAAAATATAACAGACTCTTCGGGAGTGAAACGGGTTTATGCATAATTCTCCTGTTTTGGTCAAGTGGTGCACTCAAATGGATTGTTGAAAAAGGTGCTTGTATTAGCTTGAATACAAATCCACAAGCACCTAACATAGATTCTGGCAGCAGGTCAGATTGACTAGAAAGGAGTAAAGCCACAGGATAATTGCTCCTAAAAGTGCCTCATCGTAATATCAGGAACCATTTAAAACATCTGCAATGTTAAATAATTACCGGTTTTAAGCAGCGCCGCTAAATTACAGTTTATCAAAGAATGGCTTTGCTTAGAGCTTTATGGGGTTGTTTTTAGTCTCTGTATAAGCTGATGACCGCTGATGAAATCTGTGCATTTTGTTTCAGTGGTTTGACATGAGACATCCCTCTCTTTTCTTGTCAGGAGCAACTGATGATGCACGACTGAACTGAAAAGGAAAAAAAAACTCCATTTGCTGGAGACCTTTTGAAAGACATAGCCTGAGGAAAAGCTAGTATTTTATCATGGTCCCTTTACCAAATAATACATACCGTACCAGTCAGCATCAGTAAGCTGTCCTAGTTTCATTGACAGCATTCCTGTATAAGAAACCTGATTTCTAAGAGCCTTTAGAAGAA